TGGTATAGATTGGGATGCTTTGAAGGTACAAACCAGAGACCTCTACCTATAGTTATGTTCCTGGAACCTCACAGGACAATTGAGATGCGACAATCTACTTTTCCAAATACATGGCATGCTTGCAAAACAAGGGTATGTGTTAAAGTCCAGTGATTTCTGAGCTGGAAAATCCTGTCAATGGTTTTGTTTCATTCTGGATGTGAGATATATTTGTTTTGTAGACATATTTGGATAGAATGTATAAAACTCCTGACCTCTAAGTCAGAACGATTTATCTATTTTTATGTGTTTTGAGCAGAATGTTTCACATATATGGTAGACGTTCTTTAAATATTTGAATATATAGATTTAAAAAACCCAAAGCTTCAGTTTTAGATGAAAAAAATTCAAAATGTCATTTTAGATCGGAAGTCTCTTTTATGTATATGTTCACTTTTATCCTTATTTTAGTTTTATAGCAAAACCAGAAGTATTATAGTCCTCATTGCATATGTGTTTGGAAGGTGGCAGTGTTATTATCAAAAGAAAAAAAAGCCCTCCTTACCTGGAGAGCTAATAAACCTAGTGAAAAGTTTATTTCCAAAAGCACTTTAAATACATCTACTCCATGAACTATGCAATCAAAGCATCAGTATTTGGTAAGATTTAAAAAATGTTTTGCTTTCTCATTAGAGTCTGCATGCCATCACTTTCAATGACTGGCCTGGCATGAGAGATTAAAGTTAATTTCTTTTCACCTTTTGACTAGTAGTTTTGACTTTCTGTACTCATATACTAGAGTTAAAAATATCAGCTGAGCTGGATGTGGTAGCACTCGGTTTTGATCACAGTACTCAGGAGGCAGTGACAGGTAGATCTCTGTAGGTTCAAGGCCAGCCTGGTCTACATAGTGAGTTCAAGTCCAGCTAGGGCTACATAGTTAGACCTTGTCTCCAGAAACAAACAAACAAACAAAAAAAACAACAACAAAATATTAATCAGTTGAAATATGCTTATCCCTCATGTTCTAGGATTAGAGTCTAAGTTTCAAGAAGACGGAAGTGAAAGGCTGCAGGCATATTTCTTGTTTCATTTTCTTAGCTGGAAGTTTCATGTTTCTGAATCTAGAAAGGCCTTTGTATTTTTGACCAACTTGAATAATTTGTACAGTTCTTTTAAGAAAAAAAAAAACCCTTGAAATGTAAAGAAATACCTATTATTAAATTACTCTTTATTACTGATCTTAAAATGCACCTCTATAATTACTTGTGAAAGTCTGCATTTATAATAGTTTGCAATGCATTTAAGTACAATAATACGACTGGTATCAGACATCATAGGGTCTCCCAAATTGCAGGGACTGTACATGCTTTTCAGAAATTATTTTTGGGTGAGGAGTTTGTCTTGGTTCAGGTTTAGAGACCCATCTAGCTTGGCTCTCTTTTGAACTCCAGCAGCCTTGGGTGTTGGTAGGCATCCTGCTTCTGTCCACCTCTTAACAAGACTTTATGTGGTGCGTGAACCTTGCTTTTCTCAGTCTGTTCTTGAAACACAGCATGAGCAGTGCTGAGCTCAGTTGGTTAGAAAGCCCTGAATTCATATCTGATTCCTGTGACACCCTGAGAGTTGTTCTAATATTTGGCCATAGCTTAGACTCCCAGATAGAAAAGCTGATCATCCCACACATGTGCAAAGAGTGCGGATGACTCAGCAAAATCCTCCTCCACTCTAAGAAATACTCAAAGTGCACAGTGCATTGGTGGGTCCCATGGTGGGTCCCAGCAGGTGGAGCAAAGGACAGCACAAAGAGGGAGAGCGTCTTTGTTATCTGGGGTGTCACAATCGTTGAACCAGCAGCCATGTAAAATAACACTGAGATGTGTTCTGCAGAACTTGGAAAATAGGTACAAAGGTGGGATTCTGGACTGTCAGATGTATAATGGTGCCATCCATGCCTAGTTCACTGATACAGCTTATCTGTTAGAACCTTGAGAAAAATACATTCTATAGTATGTGTTTGAGTAGCCAGAACATTGATCCTAATTCTCCTTCTGTAGTCTGTTCCTGGGGGTTACTCTCTGGAGCCTGAGTGAGCTGTGGGAGAGTGAATTGTATTGATGGGCCTTAGCTTTCTCTTGAAATGTTTTCAGTGTTTAAAACTCATTCAGGATTGGCAGATTTTACTTTCTCAAACATGAAGTTATTTTTAAGTCTCTACATTTCTTTTAAAAGAGACTAAGTTTTGAGATTTCCAGGTATGTAGATGTGCCCTTTACTCCCAAGGATAGGGTCATTTCCCTTGCTTAAGTCAAAAACCAAACCAAAACAACCAAAGCAAAACAACCAAAACAAAACTCACCTCACCATCCCCTATAGTGTTATGACACTGTGACATATTTTTTCTTCTGTACTGTGGTAAAATATACATGACAAATTTTTACCATTTAGGCATTTTTAGGTGTACAACTTGGTGGTGTTAAGGACATTTGTGAGTTTATAAAACAATCACCACTATTTATTTTCAGAATTTTTTCATCATCCCAAATTGAAAGCCCATATTCACTAAACAGTAACTCTGTCTCCTCCCCTGTATCTGTCACTCTACTGTGTCTATCACTTATTCATTCTAAATATCTCATATAAGTGAAATAACACTATTTCTTTGGTGTCCAGCTTATTTTAGTTAGCATATTGTTACGGCTCATCCATGTGGTAGAAGATAACAGAATTTCATTTCTTTTTGAGGTTGAATAATATTCCATTTTATTTATCCCTTCATTTGTTGATGGACATATAGTTTGCTACCACTACTGGGCTCTTGTGAATAATATGCAAAGTGCATCATATTTGATGCTTAATAAGTCCTTCCTGGCCATGCTTGCTTTTTCTTTAGCACATGCATCTTATTTTCCCAACAAGATAATCAGTTCTGCAAGTGAGGGGAGAGGTCTTATGCTTCCTAATATTTTATTTTTATTCTATTTCTCGGTTTTGCCTAGTGCAGGTTGATAAATACTTGATAATAGATAATATAAGCTAAACTTAAATAAATGCTTAGCGATATGTAGAATTCTGAATATTATGTCTGTATTTACATGGGGAAAGTATTGGATTTGTTTTCTGAAACTTCATTGTCCAGGGGTCAAAATCAATCATGTGCTCATTTTATTTCAAAGCTGACACACAGCCACTGTCTACGCATTCTCAGGTGTTTAATAACATCCTGACAACCACGACATATGTACGGAGTCCTGAGTCAGGGAAAGTCACATATTGCAGCTGGTTAGAATGCAAATCTGTATAGGGTTTTGTTTCGTTTTTGTCTTTTGGATGAAGGACATAGAGAATTCAAGTAAGAAAATAATTGGGTGAGGAAAGCTGGGCCCATTGTCCTAGGAAGCTGTGGGGGGAGAATGTGTCAAGTTTCTCTTATAAAACTCGATGTCTGGTGAATCCCAGAGTCCTTAGAGAAAGCAAAGGTGGATTCATTGTACAGAATACAAATGAATCATGCAATTGAAACCTAATAATTTTTAATAAAAAATCAATTTAATGAAACAACTTTGGAATAAGTATGGATTTGTACTAGATGTGGTTTGAAGTCATGTGATGTTATTGTAATTTAAATTTAAAACATTTAAAATGCTTTAAAACACATTTGCTCATGTTTGGCCATAGTTTTTTGCATTGGTTTTTCAGTTATACTTAAGATACATGTGGTATTAGAAGAATGTTCATCAATGGGCCTTTGTCTAACATTTTTAAAGTAAACAACAACAGGTAGGAGGAGATACTCTCTAGAAGCTGGGTTGATGAAATTTTACCTCTGGCTATCTGCACAGTCAGGTGTGCTCGCTCAGAGGCCCACAATGAGGCCATTCAGGCAGGGAGAGCAAACACAGATCGACAACTGATTACTATCTGACAACTGCCTCATTTGGGAGATTTTTTTTTCAGATTAGTTACTCTGTATTAAATAACCACAACTAAAACACTTTTTTAAAGGATAAAAATCTATTTGCATGTAGCTTGCTAGTAAAAACATGTTCCTTGATTCTTATAGAATACTGTTAGAATTTATTACTGCAAACCCAGCCATTCGTTCCCACTCTTTTCTGCCTGTTTAGCTCTGTGGTGCTTGCCCTTCATGGCTAAATTTGCAACTGGTTTGTTTCATAGCAAGTCCTGGCTTTATTTAGGAAGTTCCTTTCCCCCTCCCCGATGTAATTTGGAATGTAATCCGCAAGTCCTTTCCATGAACTTCCTGTCAGTTCACACAAAGGTACCCACTTCTTGTCACACATGGCCCTGAACTGTGGACCCCTTGTTTCATTGGTTGACAAGGCTCCCTCTTCAGTTTCCAGCCATTTCTTTCCCCTCTCCAATATCTGCCCTGCCACTAGAATCCAAGCTGTCTTTATTTGACCTTTAGTGCAAGTCATAGGCATCTGGGTTTACCTGACCTGTCAGTGGCTTTTTACAAGTGATTTCAACTTATATTTGTCTCTTACGTGGAAACTGTTATCAGCTAGTTTTTATACATGGTAATCTGTTAAAACATTCTGTTTGGTTCACAGGGCAGACTTAACAGAAAACCAGCCCAGGGGAAGCACATATGAACACTAAAGTGTCCTATGGGGGTAGGGTTGTGCCAGGTGATGATGGTCAGAAGCCCCTCCCACGGCCTTGCTCAGCCTGTCCTCCTCTGTGCTCCTCTCTGACACTCCAGTGGGTTGTTAGCGCTGTGACCTCCAGGCCTTCTGTGATTATAGGATCATGAAGTCATTCTGTGTTTAAGGCAAGCTTTCTCCCACAGCATTCTGTGGTATCTCCATCTTCTTTTACCCTTTCCCTCCCTTTTCTTTTGCCAATGACATGGTTCGATTTCTTCTCTAAAGGCTGGCCATGTGTTATAATCCACTGAGACATCCTTCTTCTTCCCAGAAACCTGGGCACAGTTCTCTGCAGAGCACATCTGTTTCTGTAGGGTGGGATTAACCCAGCTGCTTTCTGCCTTTCAGATTTGACTGAAGAGCACCTTGGGGACAGCAGTTCAGCAGACAATGCCGAGGGCTTCAGCGACAAAGACACCGACCAGAGGAGCTCCCCAGATGTGGTCAAAAGTAAGAGCTGCTTCACCCCAGAGAGCCCCGAGATAGTGTCGGTGGACGAAGGGGGGTACGCGATGCAGAAAAACGGGGGCAACCCCGAGAGCCGCCCAGACAGCCCCAAGTACCACGCAGAGCAGAGCCACCTCCTGATTGAGGGCCCATCCGGGACGGTTTCTCTGCCCTTCAGCTTGAAAGCCAACAGGCCACCCTTGGAGGTGTTAAAGAAAATCTTCCCCAACCAGAAACCCACGGTGCTGGAGCTCATCCTGAAGGGCTGCGGGGGTGACCTGGTGAGCGCTGTGGAGGTTCTGCTGTCCAGCCGCTCCTCCACCACCACCGGGGCCGAGCGGACGGCCGTGGAAGCCGAGAGCTTGGTGCTGCCCTCCAATGGCCACATCTTCGAACACACCCTGAGCTCCTATCCCCTTTCCTCCTCCAAGTGGTCGGTGGGCTCCGCCTTCCGAGTCCCTGACACCTTGCGCTTTTCCGCAGACTCCAGCAACGTCGTGCCCAACCCCCTGGCGGTGCCTCTGCAGCATCCTTTCCCCCAGCCGCCCCGGTACCCGCTGATGCTGAGGAATACTTTGGCGAGAAACCAGTCCAGCCCCTTTTTGCCCAACGACGTCACTCTATGGAACACCATGACGCTGCAGCAGCAGTACCAGCTGAGGCCCCAGTATGTCAGTCCCTTCCCTAGTAACTCCACCAGCGTCTTCCGGAGCTCGCCTGTGCTCTCCTCCCGCACCACAGAGGACCCTCGGATCTCCATTCCCGACGATGGGTGTCCAATCGTGACAAAGCAACCCATCTACACGGAAGATGACTATGACGAAAGGTCCGACTCTTCCGACTCGAGAATACTCAACACATCATCCTAAAGTGTACCTGTGGGTGGTGACCAGGTGACACTTTCTGTGTGTTGGACCCCTGGGGTGCCCCGGGAGAGTTCACATCTACTGTATACTCTTTCCTCCTGTTTGACAAAGTGACTGTGCTTGATAGTCTATATACATTAGCAATAAAAACATAACTTATTTAATTTCTTGCACTTCACTGCAAAATGCCAAATAGCTCTGCTCTGTGGCTTTACTGCTGAATGTTTGCTATAAATGAGAGTCTAATGCTAAAGACTGGCTGTGGAAGCTGAGGTGGTGGGGGATTTAGTTGGGATGTAAAGCTCAATGTCAGCCTTACTCCTAAGCTCAACCTGGAATGTTAAGTGAAATAGTATACTTGAATGCAATTTTGTAAAAGAGGATTCCTCAGGATACACGAAACCTAAAGGGAGTGGTTTGGTTGCCAATGGACTGTGAGCAGGGACTTTATATTCCTACGTTTAAAATCCTTGCATTCTAAAGAGAGACTGCCCTTCAGTCTAGAGTGAACTGCTCAGATGCCTATTTAAAGCTTGGAAAGTCTTCAGAGACAAACTGCATTAAGAATTATTCTTTTCACATGGCTGAATTGAAACATGTGTAATGTCAATGTAAAACCGATCACAGCTGTGAACTGCATGAACTGTATTGTGAAATGAACACAAGATTAAGCTTTGTCAGGTTAATGTAGCATGCTAAAGACTCTAGAAAAATAAACTAAGGAGATGATCTTGGTTTTTGTCTCTTCTACTCGGAGAAGGAGGATCTCTAAACACAGAGCCTCAGTGTAAAAACTGCTAACTAACGCATGGCTCAGAAACCAAGACACTGGTTAAAGGAGACATTCCTTAAGCTGGGAATACAGTGAAGTGGTCTAGCATGTGCTTGGCGGGTAGGATCTGTGGCTCAAGATCCCCAACCCCCCCCCCCAAACAAACAATAAGAGCAACAAAATGCAGGAAAAAAAAAACAACTCGACAAAACCAGTGTACAGAAAGCACTCAGTGTAGGAAGTTGTTGCTCCTGAAAGTTTAGCAGCTCTACATTCAAAATATAGGTGTGAATCTCCTCATTCTCAGAGACGATGCCATTCTAGTTTAAGGCAACACATTCAGGGCTTTCCCCTTCTTTCTTGGCATTATTTGTGACAAGTTTCTCACTTAACCGTTTTGTAAGAGAGAATTTTCAAACAGTAATATTCAGCAGAGCCCACATCATTGGGTTACTGTTTCTGTTCTTCAAAATGCTGCCAAGGCACCAGACTGCTTAAGTCTGGTGACAATGCTGTGAATATGGAAGGGAAAGTAAATAAGCAAATATACAGGGGGAGGACCCAGGGAGAGCTCCCAGTGTAAGCATAAGTTTCAAGAGGCACTTGAGCACTGTGAGGGAGAAGGGCAAACTCTTACCTGAGATACTTCCCAACCCAGAGCAGCCCCAAGGGAAAAAGCTCTTACTCAAAAGAACCTTCTCATTTTTGTTTCCATGGGGTACCTCTGGAATGAGTAATCTTTGAGAGGGAAAACTCTTTGCATTGGCTGGACTACTGTTGCAGTTAATGGACCTAGCTACATGCCAGAGTGCTTGCAAGTAAATATAATTTTCTTGTTGAGGTTGTTTGTAAACATTAGTGCTTACGCAAGGAAGAAAGTGAAAGGAAGAATAATTTGTTTCTTGATTTTAAAAATCTTGTGGCACTGATGTTTTAATGTCTGAGTCTACCCAGAGCAAATGTATTTTTTTAAATTTATTATTTTTATTTTATGTGTATGAGTGTATTGCCTGCATGTATGTGAGTGCACCCATGTCATGCAATGCCTCGGAGGTCAGAAGAGGGCTTCAGAGTCCCCTGGAACTGGAGTTAAGGACATGCTGTGAGGACATGCATCAGCCAATTCTTGTTCAATCTGGGGTCACGCAACCTGCAGAAGTCACAGCTAGAAGCAGACTATTCTGCAGCTTGGTTCACACAGCAGGGTATCACTGTTGCTTGTTAAACGAATGTGGGCAAATTGTAGAGATGAAAATGCCTTTTAAAATACATTTGCTGGGGCTGGAGAGATGGCTCAGTGGTTAAGAGCACTGGCTACTCTTGCAGAGGACCCGGGTTCAATCTCTAGCACCCACATGGCAGCTAACAGCTGTCAGTAACTCCAGTTCTGGGAGCTCTGACACCCTCTTCTGGCCTCATGGGCATTATATGCACAGGTACACTTACATGCTTGCAGAGAAATCATACACGCAAATTTTTTTAAAAGGAGATCCTTTGTTGTACCTCCAGCATCCACTTTGTTCTGCCTGCAGTGCTGGTGACTGAGTCCCTCTGGTTAAAGTAGCACACTCTCTTAAGATTCTAATTCAGCTCTTAGATTCTATCATGCAGAAGTCAAGGGAGTGAGTAGTCCTGCTCAGAGCACCCAGTCCCCATGGAACCGAATGTCAGAATGTCAGGAAAAAAGTCACCTCACTTCCAGTTAAATTTCAACTGTCACATAGCATCTGGGAGCTTGACTGTGTACTTCCAGTGTTCGCCAACTGGAGGTGGTAAACCCGGGATATCTGACCTGGAAGCTGGTCCAGTCTGATCAGAAGTTCATTCCTATTAAACTTCAGTTTCTCCCTCCCCTTCTGGAAAGGTTCTGTACACTCCAAATCCTGGTTAAGTGCTTTGTTCATCTAAGATGCTGAGAGTGTGTTAGCTGTACCCTAGACCTTCTGTCTCAAAGAGGTTCCTGCAGATTCCTGAGGAGATTCTGTCTTGAGTTAAAATCTTTGGTAGTTGGGGCAGTACATTTCTATCATCTTCTTCAGGTAGTTTGTGAACTCTCTAGATTCCAGAATGGCCTCCTTTTTAGACATGTTTGTTTTCTTCTCAGATCTCTGCTGAGTGAAAGAACAGAAGACTATAAACTCTTCAGTTGAAATTTCCACCCTACCTTGTACGGCAAGGTGAACTTCAGCATGGAAGCATCTCAGCACATGCCCTAGGTCTAGCGCACATAGCTTTGAGGTCAGGGCCAATTACTAGGTGGGTATACATTTGGAATCAGACATGCCTGTTTCTGGAAACTTCACATTGGTAAAGGACTAGGCAAGAGTATAAATGTGTCCTACCCTTTCTGCTCAGGGGAAGGCCTGGAGGTTTTTGCTTTGGTGCTGTAGAGCCTTCCGTTTGTTCCATAATCCCAGTTTACTAGTGACATCCGGGAATAAGTTTTGTCCTGGTGCTGTGGATTTAAAAAGTATCAGCATACTTCATGGTGCAGTGGAAAGGTAGTTTCACAGATGAATTGGGAAACAAGGCATGTATGTGTTCCTTAGGTAAATGGCTGTGGTTGAAAATAACAGTAGCACGATTAAGTAGATAACAGGCACCAGTGAAAAGGGGGAATGATTCTGGACCATTGATTGAGGTTGCTAACCAACAGCTTTCTAATAACTCATTTAACCTGTTTAAATTTTAGGAAAAGAAATTGCGGTAGAAAAGACATTAAGAAGTACAGCAGTCAGATATTATGGGATTTGCTCTTCAAGAAACCTGCTTTCAAGGTCCCTTATTTGCCCTGTGTGCAAATATGAAAAATGAACTTGATTTCACTGCATACTGTTTCAGTGATTCATTCTTTATATGCGCATTTACTCAGCAGATGCAAGTCGAAAATAAGATGGATGCTAAATTTATATGTTAATTTTAATATTGAAGCTATCCTATATTTGAAGAATAAGACCAATGCTTCAATTCCATTTCTTATGTGATACTGAATGTTGTCATTACTGGAAAAAAAATCACTTCTGAATGCATCCTCCCCAAATTCCAATTTCCCAGGCAGAGCAGCCTCGGAAGAGGCAATCTTGCCTTTTGCTGACAGTCTATTCAGGATGGGCTTCAGTGTTCCCACAGTATCACTTACTATCTCAGTGTCAGGAGGAAACAGCAAGGGTAGTGGTTTGTCCTTAAATTACAATGGAGTTTATTTACTAATTGGATCCTGAGAGTTTGCTGGGGTTATTGGGCTGTGTCATGAGTTTCGTATATCCCACAGGCAAAGCCACTGGACTTAACCAAAAGTAAACTCAGCAGTTGTTAAGAAAAATTATACCTCTAGGAGACCAGAGTCATTGCCTGGCGGTTTTAGACTACGACCTCAAACTTACGCTGGGATTTAGATGAAAGATTCCAGGGTCTGTGCAAGTTGTTTGAGGGGTGAGAGGAGAGAAGAAATCTGTCTCCCAGCTAAATATGGCAGAATCAGATATGTGATGACTGCTAGAAAGGAGGGCAGCAGAGTTGGGCTGGGGACCCTCCTCAGCCTGAAGGTAGCAGGATGTCTGGCAGCCCCTGGCCTTCTTTCTTGGCTTCTGCCTGGGGGAGTGATGGCTGCTGTAGGCTGCTGGGGAGACACTCATTCTGTGCTGTTGCTCCAAGAGAACAGGCAGGGGGTCAAGTGAGGTTCTGTGTCTGAGTCGAGGCCCTTTTCAAGTGTGTCAGAAGAGAAAAAGATGCTATTTGGGGAGGAGCCCTTTCCTCTCCCCTTTCCCTTTCCTCTGTCCCCCATCCCTTTCCTTTCTTTTTGCTTTTGTTTCCCTCCCTCCTTTGCTCCCTCCATCCCTCCCTTCTGTCATCCCCCTCCTTCCTTTTTGAGATACGGCCCTGATAACTATTCTAGGCTGTGTTCTGCCCTCCTGCATCAACCTCTAGAGTGCTGGTATTACAGGTGTGCAACTCCATGCCTGGCTAAGGAGCCTTTTTCTACGCTGCACAAAGGCACACTAAAGTCTAGTGGATGCCCCAGGGAAAGACAGGGAGAAGAACAAAGAGTGGATGACTCACAAGAGAACAGCTTGAGCACCAACAGGAATAGCTATGGATGCTCAGGATAGACAAATCTTTGCCACCCCGTCTCCCTTAACTTGTGCCCTTTGAGAAAATATGGAGTAGTTTCAGTACACTTAGGGTGTACTCTTTGGAGCTGGGATTAAAAGTGCCAGGAACTGTTGGAAAG